TAATTTATACGAACCAAAAACCGTAACGGGCCGAGAACGGATTCTTGCAGTACACCACTGGAAACGCAGATGCTTTCAGAGTGAGTGTCGGCTACTCTTACCTTGATTAGTCTGTCGTGTAAGTAGTCTTCCAACCAGGTGAGCAGGGAAACTTTGATACCGTAGGCAGCAAGCTTTTGGAGAACAATGCTTTAGAAACATCCAAGTAAATCACATCCATAGAGATTCTTCATCAATCGCTCTTGTCCTTGAGTCCCGACGAAGCAGCAAATTGGTGAGACAAGATCGTCTGAGTCTGAAAATATGTTGGGCATTAGAAATTATTTATAGACGCAAATATCACGTCAGTTCATCTGCCATTGCCTATTGCATCCCTTTTGATAAAACAGGAAGGAGAGTAATAGGTCGGTAGTTGGCAGGATCCGACCGCTTACCTCCTTCGAATATTAGTGATAACTCTATTTTTCCACTCATCTAGGAGTGTACAAGAGTTAAGCAGACCCTGGAAAGGTTGCAAGTCGTGCTGCTATGGTGGGAGAAAGGGTTTTCAGTACTTTTGGGCGGTGCATGTCAACTCAAGGGTCACTGTACTCCCGGAGAGACTGTAATTTGCTTGTAACAGCTGCTGGAGTAAAGGTATCGTTGGATAAACCAACGACATTTGTTGGGATTTATTCGGCAAAGGTTCCATGATATATGTAGCTACCGAGCCAAACTTCAAGTCTACAGCGTTCGCAGCATCCACAGCAGTAGTTGTTAGTCCACTGGCCGTCTTGATTGGTGGTATTCCGGGCTTAACCTTTCTTTTGCCATTCACAAATCTGTATAGTAGTTTGGTGTTACTTGTAAATTTCAGCACCATGGTCTCCTGCCATTCTTACTTATCGACTCTAATGAGCGATGTGTAGTAGTTTCTGATTGCTTTATAATTCCGCATTTGGTAACACATGGGCTTAGCGAATGTTGCCTCCAGACATAATCTCTTCTGTTGGTCCATTAACGCGCTCTGCTCCGGATCCAGGTATTGGTCCGGCGCGATGCTCGTACTGGTACAACCTTCGATGCTGATTGCACGACCGAGTTACTTTTATCTTTCAGTTCATTCCACGCGTCATTCGCTGAATTGTGCGTCTGTAGGTCCCAGTCAACAGTTGCTGCTAAGTTGTGCAGCTTAAAATAATCCATAATACTTCGCTGAGTCTCACTTTCTTTATCAACAATACTGACATAACACACATAACTAAATGTTAGGATTGAATGGTCGCTACGGCCCAGTGGAGGATCATATGCTACTCACTCAACCATCAACTTCTCATTAGACTGGATTAAGTCCAGGAGCGATGGCGTGTTTGAACCGCAGTGTCTGGTTGATCCATCCACAAGTTTCTACAAAACTACATTTTACGGAGTTTGACCTCATGTCGTTGACTTCAGTATCCTCCGTTTTCTCTGGTCAGGGAAGCTGTAGAGCTTGGACTAGCTATTTTTGGAAGCAAAAGGAAGGTTGAAATAATCGAATGCAAATTGCTTCGGCCGTCACAAGTGTACGAAGGCGTTGACCTTTCGATCGGTGCAGTGGAACCTTGTAAACAACTCTAAAGGCACGCTTTAGATCCACCTGATGCCCACTGTCGACAGTATGAGCCAGAATGGAACTACTAATAGCCCCGGTGCCATCTTGATGCAACCAACGTGGGCAATGTTCATTCACACATTTGGACAAGTGCCACGTTGTTCGACCGATATACTTTGCGCCACATGCGCACCCGAACAAAACTGCCATATACACGAATTCAAGGAGCTTCGATATAAGTGATGACCCATTAGTGGACACTGACGCTATTTAGGTACATTGAAGTCGCCCATTATAAGATAGGGAAAGTACTTTTGTGAAACAACATAGCGAAGGGAGTTTAACAGAATGTTATCGCTGTCTACTAACGAGTTCGGAGGCCTACAGATAAGTGCTAAGAGGCAAGCATCACTCGTATTCTGTGAACCAACATATCGCCCTTCTAGGTGCAGTCAACAAAATACTGCGCCGGGAATAGCAAGGGAATTTTCGCTAAGGGCCTCACATTTCAAGTAACCACGATAGTAGACAGTAACACCGCCACCGCGATCATTTCGAATGACTGACATCGCACTGAGTTCAACCTCCGGATCAAGTATGTCGTTTTAAAGCCAAGTTTCAGTAACTGCAATGAGGTCCCAAGTTATTGTTTCATGTCGATGGTGCAGTTCCGAGAGCTTAGAATACAACGCCTGAGTATTGCTGTAGCAGCATTGTATTTGTTGACGCATTAGGAGCTCGGTTGGTTGTGAGTTACCGGCACAAATAGTGCCGGCCTGCTGAATATTTTTTGTTACCACTGTTTGCACGGTTGACTGATCTGAGATAAGTACAACTGAGACTGGCTCATCTGTATCTGAGGTCTGTATTAATTGAAGGAATGGCCTTAACCGTACTTCTGGTGGCCCGTTTCCTGTAGTTATGCCGTGATTGGGTTGCCACTGATACCATTTCGGTCGCAGCCAAGGTAACTTTCAAATTTGGTGGCCCCCGCTGCCTTGATAGTTTGTCGAGGAAAGTAGACGGGTGACATCAAAAGCCACGACATTTTGCATGTCGTAGAGCTCTGTGGGTTTACCGAGCTTGCTTCATGTCGACTCACAGATTATTGTAATATCGGAAGCCGTTTTCAGTTGAAGCCAGACAGAAACAACGCTTATCACAATCGTAACATACTTCTATAGTGACTGATAGTTCGAGCAATGGGTTGCAAACGCCACATTTGAAACGAAACGTTGAAAACTTGGAGTTTTGGTGAATGTTAGTGACGGTCTTCCAGATGCTGCCTGCAAACATCTGGTTTCCCACAACGCTTGCAAGCATATCGTCTAAATTCATAAAATAGAGCGAAATGTCACTGACCACAATGCCAACAAGAACTAGGCGGAAGGCCTCGGCATGTGAAGTCGGAGAGACGTACTGAATTGTACGATGGCCTGGGATGAGTAGGAATAGTGTGAACATCCACCACACATGATTCCTTATGCCGTCGGATCATTCTTGTTTCATGCTTCAGTGTCAACGCACGTTCACATTCCTGTACCAGCTCCTGTAGTGAGGCAATTGGATTAGACTCCAAGCGCGATAACAAATATGTTCGAATCTCCGCACCTTTCGGAGAACGTAATCCACAAACAAAAATGAGCACTTTAAATTGATCACTTGTGAGTGTGCTAAGCTGTTAATGTTCATATTCTCTGTTAACAACAGCTGCATAAGTCGCAAAATCAGCCTCTTAGTGTTTAACAACTTGAAAACTTCGGCAATGTGTGTTGAAAAGTGAAGTCCTAGAGCCGAAAATTCTGGTCACTTGTTTCCCAGTGTCATCCAATGATGTATCGCGTGGGTTCTTGGGTAGAATGTGATTAGAGTACTTTTCGTACTCTTGCGGACTTAATTTCCTCAAAAGAAGCACATGAGCTGCATCGCCTAGCACACACCCATCAATTGTTAACAAGTTTTCATAACGGCGAAACCATGCTTCGAAAGTGTGGTCATTGTCCGGCTGGTAATAAAATTCTGCCGTACTGTGCGCCAGCTTATCATTCGAAATTGTTGAGTCCGTAGATGCTGACTATAACGACATTCGCGTTGCTGTGACGCCTCAAACTGTGCTTGCTGTCTAGACAGCATTGCTTGAAAAAATTCCAAAGGGACCGTCATGGTTCACCAACTGGAATGTCATCGTCAGTCTATTATAACGTCTGACTGTAACAGAACCCACTCCGAACGGGAAGCAAGCATATCACCACTCTGGAAGAGCTGTACTGTAAAACTGACAAAGCTGAGCAACCGGGACGCGAAAAGATCAATAGACCAATAAGCCAACCACATGAAAGGACCTAGTTATGAATGTTAAGCAGTCTAACTGAACTACTGTCGTGCGTGTGTGCAACACAATCACGTGCCGGGAAAGTCACAACTGTCAAACTATCCAGCTGTGAGCGACTGTCAAGCCGGAGCCCGTCTAACACTTTTTCATCGACCCAGCGAGATCGTTTCCTTCGATTGAAGTTCAGTCACGCTATGTCCTATGAGTTTTCTGGATCTCACATTTGACCTGACCTCAATGACCAGTCGTAACGCCTTCTAACCGTTCACCAATTATTAGTTAATCGCCTGGTGCTGGCTCTTTCTTCACACTCAAATGTCCACAAAATACTCTCAGTGGAACAGCTGATGGACAAGGGCTCTCGCGATCAACTTCCAGGCTGCAATTTAGTGCGTAAACCCACTCCATCGGTCCCAAATGTGGTTTGACAAACGGTTGCTCGTAGGGGCAAGTGTCCAAAAGGCGTGTTTGAGCATTCCACTGCTCGACTTGGGCACAAGCATTATCACGCTACCCACGGCTGAGCCAATAGTATCTGGAGGACACATTCCGGTCTACCATAGAAAGTAGATTGGTGCAAAGGCTTAAAGTGCATACGCCCTACCGACCAATCGTGTGCAGATGTGTCAGGCAGTCACTACGCACTGCGCGTACACGCGAGTAAGCAGGCAACCGCTGTTCCCTCACCACCAAAACGCTGCACGTGTGCCTGACTGGTGTGGGGTGAGGAGGCACAGGGTAGTTTGAGCATTTGCAAATATGGGTGAGCGAGACTAACCTGTTCCACCCCGGCTAATGTGCACATAAGCTCGACGCATCTGCGTGCAGGCCAACTGCTTCAACAGTACCATCGCATACCGGCTTGGTGTCCACACATATTGTGACTGGATCCACGGACGTCCGGTTAACTCCAGATGCACCCGGCAGTGAACGCGCAGCTTACATCACCGCCAGTTTCGATAAATGCGCCAGACTCTGTTTGTTTGACTCATGGATCCGGATTATCGGATCTACGTGAATGGGAGGAGCTGACACTTCGTATATTTGGGGAACTGGGATCAAAACCCGTTGACATATTGCCCCCAAACAACACTCTCGTACAAGAAAACCTTTAGTAGTTCACAGGGTCGCGAGAATATGTTTATCATCAGGTAAGTATTATATGAACGCTATCTTTCAAAATGTGTTTTTCACGATAATGCATTTTTAGTATGGTCACCAACCGCACATTATATGTTAAAGCTGTGTCGGAAACTCGATTAACCCTTACACTCAAAGGTGAAAAGAGCGGCTTAATAATATGTCTCCGGGAATGCCGCCACACATTTTGAGCACTTTTTTAGACACAATACCAAGTCGATGTACGTGCACATTTTCCGATCCCAGTTGTCTCTCGATGATCAATGAACAATGGTTTATAACGGATAAAAAAGCAGGTGCTTGACATGTCCCGTAGGGTGTTTAGAGTGAGAAAACATAGATCAAGGGATAATGGAACCCTCGGTTTGGGCGATTACAGATTTAACTACGCTGCCGTATGAAGGGTGTTTGAAATTAGCAAGTGCGCACACAAAGCCAGAAAAGGAGTGGTTATTGATCACGTAATAAGTGAGAACGAAAAATAAAAAATAGCAAGGTCAACGCTTACTCGTGTGCAGCTATCTCGGATCGACGGGATACAAAAATCCAGTTTCTATAGTGGTAGCGTTTATCAAATTGTGTGCAAGGCGCTTGGAGTGAATCATTCTCGAGTAGGGTTATGACACTGTCCACTGTCTGTTGTGTATTAGTGCCAGCATCTGGTGGTCATGGAATATAGCACGTAGTGTACATGTGACAGAGTATCCTCAAGGCGTTTTTTGAAAAGGGATAGAGTGGGTGCGTTAATTACACGTTCCGGGAGGGCGTTCCAAGTCTGTGACACTCGAAGGGAGAAAAACTTTCACCGACATTCAAGGCGGCTGTACTGCGTGACCAGCTTAAACTGATGGCCTCTTAGCGGGGTGTTTTGACTGACTATTAGAAAGGAATGGCATGGGTGGTTGAGGTTTCTCAGGATCTGGTACACCATAATGAGATCGCCCCTTAGACACCGATAACGTCCACCGTATATTTTGAGAATCTTCAGCCTGAGTGGGTAGGTGTGACTGGTCAAATCTCTGACGCTCTTCGTTGCCCTACGTTGTGCATTATCGAGCGTGGCGAGCTGGTGCTTGAACCAGGGTTGCCAAACTTGAATAGCGTATTCCGCGTGCGGCCTCACGTACGCACTACGAATTTTTGGAAACACTGAAGGTCAAACTTACCGAAAGCTCTGCGAAGAAGGCCGAGGTACTGGTTTGCTTTCTTAGATGCCTTCTCAGTCTGCCTCAAACAACCGAGGTCATCTTGATGTTGATTCGTGCGTGGAACTCCGGCATACAGACCAGGTACCGTAAACTCAATTTAATTTGCACAGACTATGCAACCGAGAAAAGTTTCTAAACGGAACTAAAGGAGCCGTACTTAAGCCACAGGTGTCCCAGCAGTTTAATTGGGAAAACTTCACCTCTTGCAGGAAAACTATAGGAGTCAAGCGTCTGTCTCAGATCCTGGATAAGAATAATAAGAATAAGAATAATAACTTGTCTGCTATGGTGGCTACTGTCGTGTGAAGGGACAGTCGGCCCCAAAGCTACGGCTTTTTCCAATATACTCCGGTCGTCTTATTACGCTACAGCTAGCACGAGCGTTTTGTCACAACGCCAGCTCCTGCTCCGATATGTCCGAGTTGAATTAGAATGTATTAGGCTGCCGAACTTAACTGGGCAACCTGCAGTCCTGAGGATCAAACAGGTTCCCAGCGCAGCAGTAACGTGCACTGTGGTGGAGTATGAAATGTGACGTGTCAAATTTGTTTACCTGGTCGTTTTAACCTCTTCCATCCCTTGGCGTCCAGTGCTTCACTCCGTCTTCTCGTACCGAGGTAATCGTTGGTTCGAATGTAGTGAGAAACAAACGAAACATGAGTTGCCAATAGGTCCAGGCAAACGTATGGTTAACCTGCGTTTTCCTGGGTGTCTGGGGGCCATTTTAAGGATTCCAGATGAAACACTCCGTCTCTGAAGTGGTTTTGATAGACCCTAGTATCTAAACGACCAAACCAGACTCCTGCGATGCATTTGTAGCTGTGTATTTCACACTCCAAATATAGTGGAATGGTTGGGTTTTCGGCTTCTGTGCTTGGATGGTCACCCCTGGGTTTCATCGTCTAAAATGATCAACGGAAGCTAATGCCCCTTTGTACACTAATCTTTCGTGCATGCTATTCCACAGAAGATTGGTCTCCTCACTCATTGTTACGATGACCTGTTTGCTAACAATTTTTTCCAGATATCATGACACCTGATACATTTTGCAATCTAAGTAAAAGTATCTCATAGCATCTACCTCATAGCATCTATATTGTGCGGTCCGCTGAAAGGAATTGGTCCTACAACGGTAAACATTCCGGACGCAAGCGTTTGTGACATGAGGCAAGTTTGACACGTTACATTTATTGTCACACCGATATAAATTGCAACTCATAGATTCAAAAACCTGGTAGTATTCTTGTCGTTAGAATCTTACAATATTGTGCCTCCCTCCAGCTTATTTAAGATGCGGCATAGCTGGAAGGACTATTAAGTTATACTCGTGGATATGGACACTTTACCGTACCTATTTGATGGTCCTTCAAATTGAATTTCTAGTCAGGTAGCATTCCACATGCGAAAAAGTTATGACTGACATTTCTTCCCGTCGGGACTGATTCGTACTGTGCATTTCTTAGATCTATCAGGAACCGGAGCCATGTCCACTAGCAGGTTCAGTGAACAATGAACAATGATTTGTAACGGACAAAAAAGCATTGCTAGACAGGTACCGGAATGGGGCTTATATACCATTTTCACTTTAAATTGGAAGCTTTGCAAACCACTTTGGGCGTATTGCTTTATTAGTCTTAAGCCACAGGAAATGACCAAAATGTGCAACAAACGACAAGCGCTTGCTGCTTGCACAGTCCCGTTGCGCTTGCGTGAGCACAATGTGGTCTGAACATCGTCCAGTCGTTTTAATCCCCTTTCTTTAATAGCGGCTTGCAGCAGTAGGCCAATACATCGATGCTGTGTTTGGCGAAGTCATGATAACCTGCACTGAGCCAATAATCGAGCAGCTGAATAGGTTGGCACACACAAAATACGTGAAGGCTCATAGAGTGACAGGGAACAAGTAGATCGCCACCTATCTGCTTTAGCAGTTACGGTCCAAATGGTTGAATTGGCCATGGTTTAATTCCAACATTGAGATGGCGCATCGCAATTCGTTCACAAAACGCATGCTTTACAATTAGCCTCTAAAGCTAGGTAGCATTGGTTTAAGTCCTAATAGGCTATGCGATTCGGGAGTCTGACTTTCCAATAGTCACACAGCTACACAGGTTCATGTGTAAAGTCAGAGGCTCATAAACTGTACGAAGGCCGGTGTGAAGAGAGGGAGAAAGTTAGTCACTGCCTTTGATCGCTGTGGTTAGTGATCACAAGCAAGAGATGGGTTTGTAGTGGCACCCGCTGATTACACGATTCGGTTGCATTAGCATGACTACAATGTAGTCTGAACATAGTCTAGTCGCCTTAGTCCTCATTTCTTCCTAGCGAATTGCTGATTTTCTCCTTAAAATGCTATGTGTCCAAAGTGGTTTGCAAAGTGTTCAAGTTATTTTGTAAAACGTCAAAAGTGTTTAGCACAACGTCTAAAGTGCTTTGCGGCACGTCCGAAGTGGTTTGTAATACGTCCAAAGGGTTTACAAAACGTCCAAAGTGTTTTGAAGTGTGTTCAAGATGGTTTACAAAACGTCCAAAGTGGCTAGTAAAACGTCCAATTTAATGTGAAAATTGTATAAGTGATTGTTTAATGTGAGAGGGACAAAGTGCAGTTCTGGTTTGAACTGACTCACGGAGTTATTTACACCACCAGATGCTACTCTGCGCACCGTTAAGCAAATGAGATGGCTGGTGCGTACACTGCATTAATTCGCATTTCGTTGTAAACAGACTATATCTAGTATTGTAAATGGGATAGAGCCTGAGCCAATCGTTTCTCAAAAAGCGTTAATATGGGGGCGAACAGAACGTGAGAAGGAAGAGCGTTCCAAGGAGAAAACGTATTGTCGTCCATCAAATTGATCGCAGTGTGTGCTCAGTTTGAGCTGGTTGCACCTCAGGTTGGTATTGTGGCAGACTTGCAACTCATCTCGACAGATGTGATTGGGGCTAGTCCGTAGTACATCATAAGAAAGTATCCCCACAGGCGCCGGTATTCGCCGCTGTACAAGCCTAGGGCTTGCAGTCTGCGTTGGTAGGGGAGGTGAATCAGCCCTCCAGCGATTTCTGTTGCCCGACGTTGTGGAGCTTCGAGCGCAGCAGCATCGTGTTTGCGCCAAGGTCACAAGGCCTGGATCACGTATTCCACATGAGGCCCCACGTAGGTGCGCAGGACGAACGTCCTTAGTGCTTTATCGCAGCTAGCTTGTAATTCATGACTTCCCACAGCTGTCCCTCATGGTTTAGTGACATAAAGCACTGTCAGTGACGCAAACCGCCAGCGATATTGAGTCAAGCTCCTGATGTAGTTGAGGAATACGTAGTACTGACGAGCACCGATATGAAGAAGCGGCCGTTTAGTGATTTTCCGAGTATGTTTAGGACTCTCAGATTTGTAAGCTGCTGGGAAGAATCCTCAATGACTAGCCTTAAACAATTTGAATACAAAGCTGTTTTGTAAAAGTTTATTGGGGCGATGTTTCGTTTTTGCCACAGGTGACTACTCATTGGAGAACGACTTCTTGACTTGGAGTATGCAGACGACATTGCCCACATCTTTGACAGCTCACAAACGTGCCAAGCGGCACTGGAGAGATTTGCACTGGATGTCCGTCACTTCGGGCTTTGCTTCGCACCCTCGAAGTGCAAAGCGTTCCTCGAACATTGGCCTGGACCGCCTCCTTCGCTGACTCTTGGGGGGGGGGGGATCAGTTAGAAGTCGTTCAAAAATTCAACTACCTGGGAAGTTGTATCAGCACTTGTTGGATTGAAGATTTCATCACGAACCGTACAGCAAATGCTGGATGCGC